GTGCGGAGGCACAGATAGATCTTTACGGTCTATGGAGAACAGCGCTGCAAGGAGTTAACAGAGGATCTGGCCGACGCTCAACATTCAGGGGAAGGATGAGACGGATATACAATCAGACTGTTACTGGTACCATTGGAATCGGAATTCTTCGCTGGCTGCTGAAGATGGGAACTGAGCACTTATTGGAGTGTCCCAAGTGCTGTGGTGTCGATTCTTAATTCAACATTTAACATGCTGTATGTTCTGAAAAAAAAAACGTGACAAATATGGCGACATACAGCCATTGTAGTTAATACTTCTCGTCCATTTTAGAATGTCATTTTTCGTTATTTGAAGCCCTACTCTGGCTTTTTCCAGGGGCCGCAATATAGCCTGGCCTCAAATATGGCCTAAAGGCTGAACGCGATTTCTTGGACCTCTCCACGGTGATCCTCGCCCACATGGTTTCACATTATGTCATCGGGTGTTTATCGCTTGTGTGATGTCCTGGTGGGGTAGAAAGTCAGTCAGTCAGTCAACAAACAGCGTTTTATTGGATGCACTCGAGCAGTAGCCCATCTAAGACATTTGGTAGGGTTGGGAAGGAAGGAGCTCAGTGGTCTTGGTTTATTCTTACTTTGCCAAGAGTTTACCTAAGCCCATCTCTGTGATACCTTTGTTATATAAAAAGATCCAGCGGCAAAACTTTGCACCACATGTATTTCCTTTTGTAACTAATTATTTTATGTGGTGATTCCTTTCTTCTCGTATTGGCTATAGGTCCTTTTTTCATGGAAGAAATAGATTAACACCCCATTAACAAGCATGCAGTAAAAGGAAACTCAATAAGAGTTTGCTAAAGCCTATGTGTTGCGAGGAGACGGGGGAGAAAGGGGAGGTGAAAGAAGGCAAGGAGCAGAAGAAGACAAAAGAAAGAAGAAGAGGAAGAAGAAGAAGAAAGAGAGCGTGTCATAACACGGACACGTTTATGTGTTTAAATATTTCACGAGAAGAATTAACATTGTTTGCCATACAAATTCCTTTGTTAACTTTTTTATTTCCTATAGTTCTGCAGTAGAGTCGCCGGGGCGTAGAGCCTAGACGCTCTCCTGGGAATCGGTAGGTCGTGGGTTCGTGTCCGGACGGAGCTAGACTTTTTTTTTTTTTTTAAAACCTTGGCTTCCAGGTTGACCCAGCCTTGAGTAAGTACGAGCCCTGGGATGTAAAAGCGGTCGGCGTAATGCTGACCACACCACCCACCAAGTGCCACCTAGTCTATAAAATATAGGTTTAGCCCTATATGCCCAATAAGCCCGAAGACGTGGAAAAGCGACAGTTGTCTTCTTGCTATTGCTTGAGTCGTGAACGAAGTAATAGCGGTCTTGTCCTGTGTTATGTAAACAAACAGATCAAATGATCACTTTTTAGTTACCATGGTAATCAAGTGAATGATTTTTTTTTTTGATTTTCGTGAGACAGATGTACAACAACTCAGCATTGTAGTGTATGTATTGTGGCAAGAAAAGGGTTCATTTTCAGACCCACTGTATGTTGGCCTGGTTATCAATTGAGCAATTGTTTGTGTCTGCAATATTTAATATATATGATAAGACTTAATAAAGGGTAGCTTTTCCCGTGTGGGATCAAAGTACCCTATTGCTAGGAAAAAATGAATATACTCACTGCCCCCCCCCCCCCCACTTTCCCCAAACCACCTTTTGTTTTCCCGTCCAGCATGCCTTAAGAGCCGAATAATTAGGGGTAGCTATTTCCTTCAAAGTCGGAATTCATCTTCCTGAGAAACGAGCAACCAGCAGTCTGCATACACATAGGCCGAATTTGTGAAACGGATCTACCCGCAAAACTCTCTACCAGTGTGCAGAAATGGATAAACACGCATAACTTTTCTCCAATTTACAGCCAGTGGACGCGAAGAAGCAGCAGCCTGCTGTTATCCCTTGTCCTCTTTTTTCTACTGAAGCGGTTGGTATTTATCTGATGCCGTGACCACATCTTGCCATGCATATTTTTCTTTCTTCTTAGCATCATTAGCATTATCCTCATTCTCCTCCTCATCATTCTTATCATCAAAATACCCTGCTGATTAGTATCGTTGTTTTCTTTTGGCGCAGTCTGTTTTGCCTGTTGCCAACCTTCATTCTTTTTCTTTCTTCTTCCACTTTAAAAAGGGGGGGGGGGGAGGAAGGGTGCCCCATGGTTTCATCAAAAAATGAATGGAAATGCGCGACAAAATGACTGTAGATTTTCAAAAGCCAGTGGGGGAAACAAATCTGGTTGCACGTCCACTTCTGGACCTTGATCTTGTTCCATATTTCGTAGACTTTTAGGAGATGCTTTCCATGGGGCGGTGGGTTTGTTATGGTTTTCCCTAAAACAAGGCCTTGATAAAAGTAACTAAATTTAAAAAAAGAACTTAAATTATATTACTGCCTACATAGGTTGCCTTTCATCCATTTAAAGTTAAAAAAAAAAATACCATAGTTGGCGAGGCAGTTAATCATCATCATTGACATTTTTCGGTCTTTTCAGACGATAGTATTATATAGTGCTATTTGGGGGGGGGGGGGTGGGGGGGGGGGGGGACAAACCATAACCAATGGAGATAGCGAGTGTGACTAGAAAGACCTGCACGCGTTTAGACAAGTCTTCTGTACTTAGAACATGGCATTCCAGAACCTTTGTTGCCATCTCACGTGTCTGGTGTTCGTGTTCTTAGACGTTCAGCTGTCAAAAATCTAGTCATTTTGTCGCGCATTTTCATTCGCTTTTTAATGAGAGAATGGGACACCCTTCATCCCCCCCCCCCCCCATCTTTCCCCAGGCGACACGGTTCAATGATTTTGTTCTCAGGAATCTGCATATAGTAGTAGGCACTGACCACGATAACTTCTACCAATCTGTCATTTACTGTAGAGCAGTGTTTCTCAACCGTTTAACTCCCATGACCCACCAAAACAAGAACACTTGAAGTGCGGCCCATCTAAAATCTACAAAAACAAAAACAAATGCTGACAAAAATTATACTCAAAAAGTGCCAGTTCTGGGTATCGCCAGAAAAAAAAACCGATTATAAAAATAATAGTGATGATGATAATAATAATAATAATAATAATAATAATAATTTTGAAATTATAATAATAATAGCTTAACCACCAAGATTGGGGTTTCCATGCTAGACAGTAGGTAAGTAAAGTGAAGGACCCTCTTCCACGTCTTTAGGCACATCCTTTAGGCGTATCCTTTAGGCGTATCCTTTAGGCGCATCCTTTAGGCACATCCTTTAGGCACATCCTTTAGGCACATCCTTTAGGCACATCCTTTAGGCACATCCTTTAGGCACATCCTTTAGGCGTATCCTTTAGGCGTATCCTTTAGGCGTATCCTTTAGGCGTATCCTTTAGGCGTATCCTTTAGGCGTATCCTTTAGGCGTATCCTTTAGGCACATCCTTTAGGCGTATCCTTTAGGCGTATCCTTTAGGCGTATCCTCTAGGCGTACCCTTTAGGCGTATCCTTTAGGCGTATCCTTTAGGCGCATCCTTTAGGCGTACCCTTTAGGCGTATCCTTTAGGCGTACCCTTTAGGCGCATCCTTTAGGCGGATCCTTTAGGCGCATCCTTTAGGCGTACCCTTTAGGCGCATCCTTTAGGCGTAAAGGGCATATAGGTCTAGACCAGTATTTTATAGACCAATCAGCACAAGATGGGTGATGTCGTTCAGCATCACATCGGCCGCCTTTACTTCCCGGTACCTACTCATGGCTGGGTCGATCTGGGAGCCAAGGTAATTTTTAAAAAAAGTCCGGTTCTGCAATGGAGCGAACCTACGATCTTCCGATCCGCATGGTAGACAGTACATAGAATGTATTTATAATTACATTTGCTTCGAGCAGGTCTGTTAAGTCAGCGGCGAACGTCGTGCTACTAAACTAGCGCACTTTCCTCCTCTGCCCCCGGTTCAGTCTGGTGAGTGAACTTTTATGTTTACAAGTTGATAAATCACGGTAGCAAACTACTGAATGTTAAATCTTCAAATGTTAAAGGTCGCATGTATAAACGCTAACTCACTCGGGTGTGTTCAAGATCAAGCTGGGGCGATTCATTTCAGTATATTAACTAAGTTGAAACATTCTGTTTTTCATTTCCTGTTTTGTTTATTAGTTTAACAGTGTTGTTTTAGCAGGCATTTACTGAAACAGTTTGCTGTTATATGGATTCTTTACAGTTGGTTGCATATCCTTTACAAAACGTTACCAGAACAAAAATCAAATTATTTATTAGCTCTTTGTGTTCCTACAGAGCTTTACGCTCAGTAATTTGCCATTGCATTTTAATGGTTTGGCGCCTACACCAATGCCAAAATCTATGTAAAAAGGTCTACTGTCATGGAACTTGGTGTTTCGGAATAATGAAGCTGTGGTCATAAAAGCGAAGCCACAGACGCCTAATTTGGAGTACTATCGTGAAATATGTGCAGCATATACGATGCTGTGTCGGTGACATACTATTTAGGTTGAAAAAATATATTTAATAATGAGACTAGCTGTTTGTTCCAAATTGTATTCAATCTAGCCTGCCACAAGTGGTTCCAACCAAAGCATTTCATAAAGCACACAGTCAGTTGCGCTAGCGACAATCCTGGAGGTTTCCAGGAAGAGGCTCGAGGTGCCTGAATCCACAGGTTTTGACGCACTCAATGAACTCTGACCCCATGTCCAGAAATAATTAAATGTAGAAGTAAACAGATTGAACACACACAAAAAGTGTTTACTTTCCAGGATTGCAGTCTGTCAGATCAACATCTCAAACATCACGTAATATTCCCGAACGCCCGTCGAACTGTAAAGCCATACAGCACCATTACACTGGGGCACCAGAAGACGGTTATGTATCAACTTGTAGTCCAGTGTTGGTGGATGTGATGTCTGATACAATGTTCTTGCAGATTTGACGATAAATAGCCAGTAGCTGTAAAATCAGATCAGCGGATGGGTCTCCAGACATGCTGGCTGAGGTGCAACGTGTGGAAGCTTCATACAAGGTTCTAGTGCTAGGCGACCAAGGCGTGGGGAAGACGTCGCTCCTGCACTCCCTGACTGGCAAACCGTTTCAAGACGACATGTTGCCGACTGTAGGTAAATGAACAATTGTTGTCATGTGGTTTCTTGGGCACCATTGTGGGGAAAACAGAAACAGATCCACTGCCTCCCTTAAGAAGCATGTTCCAAGAGTCGACTGACGGCTTCTTTTGACGTGGGACTATATCCGCCCGAGAAGCAAGGAACCAGCAATCAAATGTATGTGCATGCAACACTCAGGTTCTGAAACAAGAACAAAGTCTGGAGGTGGATGAGCAACCCAAAACTTTTCACGAGTTTACAGCCGGTGAACACGAAGCAGAAAAAGAAAGAATGAACCAGTGCAGTATAATTAAACTTGGGTTTCACCTTTGACTTAGTTTGTGACCGATCTCGGGCCATTTGGCCAGACCAGTGCAGAAGAGCTACGCTTTGATCCTAACCAAAAGGCCGAGAAGCGGCACTCGATTTCTTCATTTTCTTAGTCTTAACCGGCTGTTAACTGAGGTGCAAAGTTCTGGTTGTTCGTCCCCTTCTGGAGTTTAGTCTTGTTCCAGAACTTGAGCAGGCACAACAATTTTACACATTTCGTCTATTTATCTGCAGATTGTTAGGCCCACTTCTCTTACGCTTGCTGGAGGGCAGGGGATATGTGTGTGTGTGTGTGTGTGCGTGCGTGTGTGCGCGCACGCTTGTGTGCGTGCGTGCCTGCTTGCATGTGTGTGTGCGCGCGCGTGTGCGCTGTGCGTGTGTCTGTGTGTGTGTATGTGTTGTACAATGAGCGACCAACACCCGGTGACACAAAGTGTTATCATTCGGATGAGGATCACAAGTCCCCAAAACCCCGTTCAACCATTAGGTTATATTGGGACCCACAACTACACAACATAATAGCACAGTATAGCACTATCATCTGGACAGACGGAGTGGTGGCAGCCAGTCTTCACCATTCCGACCAGATTATTCTGCATTTCTTTTATTTATTTCGGCAATCAGTAAAAGTAAACTTTTGCTAGAGTTTTATTCCTTTGAATATTTTCTCTCTTACACCCTTACATTTTCTTTCCCTAAAATTACATTTCAGTGTTATCTTCCTTAAAACGAAGACTGTGAGATAGGTACTATAGAGGAGTTTGTTGCTTTATAGGTCCGATTTTGGAGAACTATTAACATGCCGAATTTTAACCAACCGGACTCTAAAGGTGGCGGTAAGAGAAGAACTGGCCTAGGACGCTCCCACCTCTCCATCTCAGGCCGTGACCCAGGGGCTAGCTCTCACATCCTGTAAAGATTTAATTGCTACCGAAAATTCAGAGACTCACCAGCATGCACTGGAATAGAAAACTGAATGGTTTGGGAAACTTGGGCGTCCAAGAGAATCTTAAAGACGGAAGGCTCATGTGCTCCCCCCTCCGCGGGGGAGACCAAGCAGCAGTGGAGACCAAGTTGAGAATAAAACTTGCACTTTTCACTATCTGGGATTCAATCTAGTATGTACTTATATACCTATACATGTTAATATACTAGATTTAATAAAATATATATTTATTTGTGGTGTGTTCTCATTAGGCATGGACTTCACGAAAAAGACCTTTAATGTCGATGGCGCTGCAATACAGCTAATAATTTGGTGAGTATTTTTATCTCTTCTCACTTCCACCCTATGTAATATGGTTCTAGACATTTAACACAGCATTCTTTCATTAACATGATATTTTTCCTTTAGCTTGTTTTATCCTAAGAATATATTAGATTTTCCATTCCTTTTTCTTATAGATCATTGGCTGTAAACCCCGGCGGAAACTTCTAGAGGTTCCTCTACTTATAGACTTGGTCTTGTTACAAAACTGGAGTTTTGCGGGGATATCCGTTTTTCAGATTTGGTTTTTATGCAGACTGTTGGCATCCCGCCTCTCAGACTAATGCACTCTGACTTCAAAGGAAAGTCCTCAGATCCCGAAGAGGTTCATTTCACAGACAGTCCACAATGATGGAGACAACAGAGATACGGTTAGAAAAGATCTGACAGTCTTCTTAAAGAACAAACATTATGAAGACATCATACAAGTGGAATATGTAAAACATGTTCTGAAAAGGGCGAAAGACACTGCACCCGGGCCCGACTGGGCTAGATATTCCCACATGAAAGACATGAGCGATGCAGACCTGGTGGAGATGACTGCTTGTTTCAATCAGAGCATTAGGACAGCTTCAGTCCCACAAGAGTGGATGCACAGCTACCTGATTAACTTTCTAAGCCTGAAAAAGATTATTTAACAGTAAGCTGTTTTAGGACCCTAGCCCTACAAAACACCGTTGGCAAAGTGCTGGAGTAGATAATGGCAGATAAGCTACAAGAATTTTTGAAACAGAGAAATCTTCTTCCACGAGGTTAGGAAGTTACCGGCCAGGAAAGAACACACGGTCAAATGCAGCCGCTTTTGCCTTTGACACCTTGGGAGTGCAGAGAGTGGCCAACGGGTGCTAGGGAAGTGGAAGTCCAACAGTTGATTCACTACAATTCTCGCCCAGATGATCTGTTTATCCATACAGATGGTTCGGTGTTGAGAAATGCCTGGGGGTTCGCAGCCATAGCTAGTGGAAAATCTTTAGTGCAGGATAGCCTAGCATACGATACCACCACGTCTAGCATGAGAATGGAGGTGGAGGCGGTATTGCAGCTTTCCGGTGGCTAGAGAACAATATGCATACACATGTCGTAATTGTAACAGACGCTGAACGCATGCCTAAAAAGATGTAGACAGGGATGCTTCGAGCAGAATGGCAAGCTTTACCGAAAAGGTTACGAGTAGTGAGCATTATGTGGATCTTTACTCCAGGCAATGCTAGCGTGGTGGGGAATAAACAGGTAGACAGCTTGGCTGGATCTGCACCACTGGGTGGTGAATTGATACATGACAGGGCAGATGTGGTCAGGGCCCTTTGGGAACAAGCAACAGAGTCAGAAGCGAAACGAGATTATTATGGCCTGGAGAGAATGAGGCACCTGGGTGTAAACAGGGGATCTGGCCGGCTCACTACACTCAGGGAAAAGGCAAGACCGACATAAACCAGATTACGATCGGTACCATTAGTATAGGAACTCTGCTCTGGCTGCTGAAAATGAGGACGGAGTGCGCATGGAAAAGCCCTGAGTGCTCTAAATTATGTGACATGCTTGTTAGGGTAACATTAAGTCTATCCAATTTCCCACTGAATGGCGCCCCGTTACCAACAAGGGGAGATTACACTTACACTTTTCGTCACTTTAAGGACGAAATTTTTTGTTATTTGAAGCCGTACTCTGGCTCTTGTCAGGCGCCGCAATATAACCTGGCCATAAATATGGCCTAATGGCTGAACGAGGTTTCTGGGACCTCTCCACGGTGATCCTCACGCACATGGGGGCACATTGTGTCATCGGGTGTTTATCGCTTGTGTGATGTCCTGGTGGGGTAGAAAGTCAGTCAGTCAAGGGGAGATTACTAATGCAAAAATCGACATCACAGCACACCAGGTACGCCTGAAGCAAATTTCTGCAGGTGTGGATGTTCACTGTTCCAGTAGAACACGGACTCTACACAAGTTGTAATGGTCTCCTGATAGATGCTTTCTTGTCAAATCCACATTCACGCAAACAGATTTAAAGTCTAGGAAGGGGAAGACTAAAGCGAAAAACACTCACACAACCTTTATAGAGACTGCAAAAACTAAAATCAGGGTTGTAATTAAGTCCTTACGTCCTTTTAAGGACGTAATTTTTTGTTATTTGAAGCCCCACTCTGGCTTTTGCCAGGGGCCGCAATATAGGCAGGCCATAAAAATGGCAAAATGTCTGAACGCGGTTTCTGGGACCTCTCCGCGGTGATCCTCATCCACATGGTGGCACGTTGTGTCATCGGGTGTTTATCGCTTGTGTGATGTCCTGGTGGGGTAGAAAGTCAGTCAGTCAGTTAAAATCAGGGTTGATTGTATATCCTACCTATCAACATCCAAACCCGTCCTCATTACATATACCTTCCCTGCTTGGAGACAGCAGTACCTGCCTGACTTGATAAAAAATATTCCTAGTGTTAAGAAAGCAGAACACTCAGAATGAAACAGAAAGAAGGAAAATTATATTAAACTACATATAAGAACAATACCTAAGTAACACCTAGACTCATGCATATACAGATGGATCAGCTAAAAAAAAAAAAAAAAACTTAACACAAAAGGGAGGTCTTGAATCTGAAAAATGGATTAAAGACAACACAGTCAGTTGGAACTGGAAAATTCTCAAATAATTTTAGAGCAGAGACAGAAGCCTTAGGAACTGCAGCAGAAATGCTAATGTCAGAGAAAAATAGAGAAACTCATAGCTATCTTCATAGATGCGAGGGAGCTGCGTGGTCTTAGGGCATGGTGTCCGCCTCAAGTGCTAGAGGGTCCGGGTTCAATTCCTGGTAGGGCTGGGATTTTTTCACGTGGACTTCTAGCAATTCTCCCTGGTCTCTGGGTAGTGAGATCGGACGCCCGTGTGCATTGCTGCACACGTAAAAGATCCTTTGGCAGTTGGAAATCGAAAAGAGTAGCCTAATGGCAAAATTTGGAGTAAAAAATTAAACTAAAGTATTTCAGCATCCTTGCCGGTGCTACAGAGCCTGTACAATGTGCTGAGCTTCTTGGAGCTCAGATTTGAGTTAAAAGAAGAACGGGGCACTTATGGGCTACTACCCGTGTGCCATGATTTTGATTCGTTGCTCACACTTCAAACTTTAAACTTCATGTTCAAACTTCATAGATGTGGAGTCAGTTGTCACCATACTGAAATGCAAAAGCAATGCAGATCTAGCAGAACTTAGCGCCACACTCCATAGACTGAGTCGGGAATAAAAAATAAAGTAGTAGTAAAATGGATTCCATTCCATTCAGGACTCCGTTTAGTTGATAGCCCGTAGAGATGCAGTGTTCATAAACCATGACATGGGAAGAAAATGAAACAGCTAGACCTAAATTTTATAGACCAAACATTGACATACGGTGACTTATGTTAATGGATTAATTTATGATGAATGTATTCAACAGGGACTCGTCTGGTCAAGGTCAGTTCAGATCCATTAATAAACAGCAGTACAAGGATGTGAAGGTTGGTAGCGCCGTTTCTTTGAGTTATTTACTGAACGAGAGAAAAAAAGAGAGAGAGAGAGAGAGAGAGAGCAAAGGAATGAACCAAACTTTATTTTTCAAGGGTCACAAACTGGGCACTCGTGGTTTTTTTAGACGGCTTTTTAGGGCCCGAAGCAAAATGTTAATAATTCTGAAACCACGGGACGTAGGCTGCACTGTTTCGTGGGACGTAGCGTGTGGGTAGGGAGTTGGAGTTAGGGCCAGTTCTAGATGTTGTGAGGTCATTGAAAGCGGTCATAACGTGTAATATAGAACACGGGATGTCGCCGGTGATAGCGTCGAAGGGAGAAACGAGTTACACGTGATTTAGTTGGACCTGGTCAAAGCCTATGGTTCGGTATCCCATTAGCTGTTGTGGCAGGCCCTCTGCATGTTCCGCGTACCGACACAGATCACCGAAATAATCTAACAATACTTCTCTAAGTTCAAAATACGCTTCTCTACCGCGACGTTTACTTCGAGATGAACTGAACTTCAGGTTGGGATAGCGTTGGGATGTACGATTTCGCTTTTCCTGTTCGTAATGGCCATGCAAGTGGCGTAAGACGTGGAGGCCGGCGTCTACCAGGGCCTTTAGATTTGGGACCACTGGATGCTGCCACTGAGAGCTTTCATGGATGATAACGACTATATTTACGGACAGCGAAGATAATGCCTCTTGCTATTCTAGAGAGGTTGGATCACTTTGTACAATGGTGTGGCATGCAATTTAAGCCTCAGAAATTCAGGAGTCTGTCAGTCTTGGAGGGCAAGGTAGCGCCAATCAGTTTTACGGTGGTATGGTAAAAGATCCCCTCGGTTCTAGAGGAACCAGTGAAGAGCCTTTGTCGTGTCTACAATTCGAAGTTATCTGATAAAGCGGAAGTCCAGCGCATACATGAGTCAGTGACAACAGGTCTGCGTGCAATTGAGCTATGCAGGCTGATCGGAATGTTTAAGGAGTTGTGCCTTCAGTTTATTTTAATCCCTAAGCTCCTCTGGCCGCTGCTCGTTTATGCTGTTCGTCCATCATGAGTGATAAAGACCACTTTCATCCAAAGTAGTAAAGATCAATGATTATGAGTACGAAGGTGGCTGATTAGTCCAATATGAGCCTGGAAAGTTCTTGAGCAGTGCTGACAACATATGGAAGCCGCAGTAGGTGTGGAATTAGCTACTTCTTTCTATGAGTGCCGTTCACAATACTTTCTGTTACTTGATTAATTCAGTGGAATTAGCAGTACGATTCTTTCTAGTCTGCCTCCGTTTCTCTGCCTGTGCAACCTCTGCTGACTGATAGGTCGATGCACCATATCTGAGGGAAGTACGCCATCCAGAACGGTCTTGTGCAGCAGCCTCCCATATCACTGTGTTAATGCCAAAATGATTGAGAGCAGTCTACAGAGTGTCCTTATAGCGTTTTTTCTGTCCTCCCTGGCACCTCTTTCCTTGCTGGAGCTCGCCATAAAATACTCTCTTTGGGAGGCGATAGTCTGGCATGCGGGTTAGTTAGGTGACCAACCCAACGCATCTGACAATTCTTCAGTATCGTGTGAATGTTAGGCAGGTTTACCCTCTCAAGAACCAAATTATTTGGGATCTTATCTTGCCATTTGATTGTGAGCAGCTTTCTTAAATATGTTATATGAAATTGATTCAATTTTTTTTTAGCATGTCTCTGATACGCAGTCCAAGTTTCACAACCGTAGAGCAGTATTGGAAGAAAAACAGCTTTGTAAACCTTTAGCTTGGTCATTAGGGAGATACCACTTCTGTTCTAGACACTGGTATTAAGTCTGCGGAAACAGCTGCTGGCCTTTGAGATTCTAACGTTGATCTCGTCGTCAATATTGACTCTCTCAGATAGGGTACTGCCAAGATAAGTGAATCTGTCGACTACATTTGGCTTTTGATTATTTACGGTGATAGTGGGATCACAGTAAATTTTTTTTCCAGGGAGCCGGTTGATAGATAACAACAGTTTTATCAGTGTTAATAGTTAGCCCGAAGTTGGTACAGGCTTCAGAAAAAACTATTTATGATGTGCTGCATACTGGCCTCAGAAGTGGAGTTTAGACCGCAGTCGTCAGCAAATAAAATTTGTCTAATTGTAGTTGTTTTAGTTTTTGTTTTTAGCCCGAAGTCTCCTCAAATTAAACAAGCTGCCATCTGTATGGTAATTTAAAGCCATTCCTGGATCGTCGTCACCAAAGACATTGACAAGCAGTGCAGCAAGTGTCAGACTAAACAAGGTTGGCGCAAGCACACATTCTTGCTTTACGCCATTTGAGACACGGAAAGGGTCCGACAGTTTTCCCTTCTCCAGCACTCTAGCCTGCATACCTACATGGAACTGTTGTACAATCCTAATAAACTTCTGAGGACAGTCAAATTTAGCCATGATTTTCCACAGTCCTCCTCTCAACACCGCCATGAGGAAGTGGCTCAGAACTCCGCCTTGTCTGACCGATGTGACTCTGTATTGTAAACATGCTAAGCTGGTACTCCCATTCAAGTCGACCGACGCGGCCTAGGGCATCGAAAAGTCAGTTGATGGTCAAAAACCACGGCCAAAGAACGGAGAGACATGGTAATAAAGCAGATACGGGACACCAAAATCGAGACTACGGTTCAGAAAGCAGCCCAGCAGTCGCATCAAGGTTAGTGGATCGGCCTCGAGAGCGCCTTGCCACCAACACTCACATGGGGTGAGATCTGGCGAAAGGCACCGCTGAGACTGAGCTTTGTATTTAGATCTGCCTAGGACGTATTACCCTCCGGCGCCATTATGCTGAAATGGCATGCGACCACTGACCCGACATGCCCTCTCTGCAGAGTGAAGAAGACGCTCGAGCACGTATTGTCCGCATGCAGGAAAGCCCTAGGCCAGGGACAGTATACATGACCACACAATAAAGTCCTAAAATAGTTAGCGGACATTGTGGACCAAGCCAGGACGAGAGCCAACCCGAGGGCCAGTTCTACGGTTACCCCCATGCTCTTCCTCAAGGTTGGGCAGATCTACAAAGGTAAAATCAACAAAGTCACATACCCTCCATCAGTACTTGAATGTGCGAGGGACTGGTTACTGGCTGTCGACCTCCCTGGTTGGTAGAGGTACACACAGTTAACCCGGAAGACCAGCCTGCGACCCGACATGGTCCTACACTCTGCGGAGAAACGCCTGCTCATCCTGATTGGGCTTAACGTGCCGTATAAGTCGCGAATGGACGAAAATCACATGTGCAAGCTCGAGAAGTACTGTGATCTCGCGGCCGGTCTGAGGAGTGAGAAGCGAACGCAGTATAAATCTTCGCCGTCGAGGCATGCGCAAGAGGTCTGGTCTCCACATCCACTTTTAATGTGCTAAAGCAGCTGGGCTTACGAGGAAATCATCGTAAATGGGCCCTAAAACAGCTGGGCGAGGCTGCTGAGTGAGCTTTGAGCTGGCTCTGGACACAGCTAAACGTTACGGGGGACGGGCCTCGGTCGGCTGGTCTGAACCCCTAGTAGGAAAGAACTCCTTGTGACTTATGTTGCCCACTACTGAGTCTAAATATTCAAAATCTATGGCATTTTTGATTTCTTCGTTACCGATTTCACTATCTGGTTGGTATGTTATATTTATTGTGGGCATTATTTTGTTTCGTCTGTTTCAGAAATAGATTTACTTCTTCACAAACAGCAATGAATAGTAATACTGATTTGTGAGGTCCGTTAAAGGACTTGTAACTGGCTTTCTTGTTCCCCTATTGCATTACTATTTTAATTTCTTAGCCAAGAAATGTATTAGTTGGAGTAATTAACTTATTCACGAATAAAGAGTTACAGCGACATTCATCTTGGACAGAAAGATATAGTGTTTTTCAGTCTACAACCTGAACAGTTAGCATCTACACCTTAAGACATTTGCTGCGCGAGACGAAGCATCAATGGGTATGCCCGGTGTGCTAGGATGTCGATATTTAAAACAATAATCAGTAATCAACACACCTGCCTACCTAAACACCTACCTGAATGAACAACTCTCTATCTATCCTTTAGTCGGCCAGTTTGGGAGTCCGTTAATGTAATCCTGTCCACACGTCCATTTTCAGGGCCTGATTCTTGTTTATGACGCCACAGACGAAGCCTCACTGGACACGCTTAGATACTGGACCTGCAGCCTACCACAAGTAAGCCCAGCTACTTCTAGGCGTCGGGATCTGGCGGCTCAGGCCCCCATGAGCACCTACCCAAATAAATTGTAGGGGGTTGAACAACTCACTCCCTTCCCCAAGTTGCAAGAGAGCACCTCAATTCAATCGAACATAAATTCCCTTTTCAAGCTCTTGTTCTTTCGCGTCATAATATATAAAATACATTATATTTGCCATTCAGCCTGATTATTAATATTGTTGTTATTGTTATTATCAGAGCTTGTTTTTTTTCTGGCAGTCCGCAGTACCCGCACCTCGTTTAAAGGATCTATTTTGTCAGCGTTAATTTGTTGTTTACTGTTTATTCAACGGATCAAAATCAAGGCACCTGGGTGTAACCCATAAGTGCTCTATTCTACTTCTAACTCAAGCCTGAGTCTAAAGAATCTATCTCAGCGCAGTGCACGAACTCCGTTGCATGAGCCATAATCCTGAAATACTTTGGGTAGATTTTTAATTTAAAATTTTGCCCGGGCAGGGCCTTTAGGCTACTCTTTTTCGATTTCCAACTGCCAAGAGATTTTTTTACGTGCGCAGCACTACACACGGGGGTCCTTTCTAACTACCCAGAGACCAGGGGAAATTACTAAAAGTCCATGTGAAAAAATCCCAGCCTTCACTCGGGTTTGAACCCGGAACATCCAGCACTAGAGGTGGATGCTTAATCTCGAGACCCATGTGAACTTACGGAGACAGCAGATTTGACAGGTAGTTATTTCCTTTTCGTGTGCCCTATTCATTGATTCCCTAATTAATGCTGGTTAGGTTCACGTTAATCTCCCCAAATAGAGTAGGTCGTTTTTTATTCACAAGTTTGCTTTCTGTGATGTCTTGCATTTATGTTTTCATTCCAAAAATGAGAATGCCTGTGACATAGGTTACAGTACTTTTTACGTGGGTTATGTTCGGACCAGTTTATCAATGTTTTTGGAATGTTAAAATCACTGACATGCTGAAATATACAACGCGATATCAACGGCATTGCGGAACACCCCCGTAACCTTGTGCCAAGGTGGCAGCTTTAGGAACTGCCAAACAGAAGTGAGCTAGTGTGTACATGGGCGGGACGTGGAGAGATCAAGGTTAATTTTACCTTCATACTTTCTTATGTATTGGCATGTGACTACACCATTGCCGGCTTGCTAGACAGGTCTAGAGGCGGGGCACACTAAAATAAAAACGCTGACCAGACTGGCGAGCCATTGCCCCGTTAGCCTCAAACCTCGCGGTTTCACTTTCCAGCTCCCTGAGTGGTTTCCTGGGCCCCATAGTAGCGGTCGGGGTAGGGGGAGAGGTGGGAATAAGAATAGAGACACTGCTTTCCCAACAAACGTGTCGTAGGAGTCGACTAATTGAAGCAATCCTTCAAAGACGGAGTACATCTGCTTCAGAGGCAAGGAACCAAAAGTCTGCATACAAATAAGCCACGTCTACGAAACAGATGTGCACACAATACTCAGGCACTGAAACAAGACCTAAGTTTGGAGGTGGACGAACTCCCAAAGTTTTCCACATAATTTGTAGCCTGTAACGGGGGAGAAAAGACTTTCCAACGTGCACCACAAGGGTATTCTACGGGTCATTGGCAGACTACTTAATTTCACGGTTCACTCCTCCGAAAGAAGCTATCCTAGAATAACATTGCTACACCTTTCAGTCCATTCTATGCATTTATCTTTTTGTGCCACAACCAGTGGTGATATTAACCCACTTGTTCTTACTTGTTAGGTAACTTATTACTTATTCACTAGTGTGATTGCTTCAACTCCTTTGATGCAATGGCCATTAGTTTGTAGTAGCAACTGTTTGGGATAGAATAGGTTTAAGTAAAACTGGTACTGAGTGAGTCATTGAGCATTGACGTTTTTTTTTTAAACATGGTTTAAAAAAACCACCAAAAAAAAAAAAAAACCCCAGGAACTCAGCAAATCAAGTGGGAATTATGAACCGATACCCACGATTGTTTGCGGCAACAAGTGTGATTTGAGTACCAGCAAGAAGGTCAGCAGTATCAAAGGTCAGAAGGTGAATGTCAAAGTTTTTTTGCGTTCCTTACCTGCTTATGAAATGAAATGTTCCAGAAATGGATTAAACAGTCCTCTTTATCCTCCTTCTTCTTTAGTCCCTCTTCCTTCGTCTGCTCACCCATCTTCTACTGCTTCTTCTTTTGCTCCTGCTCGTTCTTCTGCTTCTCCTTATGTCGCTTCTTTTTCTGCTTCCTATCCTCCTTATCCTTCTTCTTCTTCAGTCTCTCTTCCTTCCTCCACTCAACCACCTCCTACTGCTTCTTCTTATGCTGCTTTTTTTCTGCTTCCCTTCCTTCTTCTACGCCAACTTCGTCTGCCCCTACACTTTTTTGTGATTTGTCAGTGTGTTGTGGGTATGAGCAGGTGTGCCTTCGTTTGCTGTGTTTTTGTGTGTGTGTTGAAATGTATTGCTGTGTCTGTGAGTGCATTGTGACTGTGTGCGTTTTGTATTGAGTGTGTACGTTTGCGTGAGTTGTGTTTTTGTGTATATGGTGTATGTGTGTGATGAGTTGTGTCTCTGTGTATATGTTGTGCATTGTGTGTGCGTGTGCGTGTGGTACTTAAAGGTTGTGTCTGTGTTTATATGTTGTGTATTGTGTGTGTGTTTGTGTGGTACTTAAATGTGTCTGTGTGTAATGTGTCTGTGCATGTGCTTGTTGTCTATGTTGTGCTTGCGTCGTGTCTGTGTGTTGTGTCTGTGTGTTGATCGTGGTCGCGACTGTATGTGTTGTGTCTGTGTATGTGCGATATGTCCGTTTATATTTAAAGTCGGAGTGTACTTGTTGGAGAAGCGAGGGACCAACAGTCTGCTTAATGGTAAGTCTAGAAGTGGAAGAACAACTTGAACTTTCTGCTAGAGTTTACATTCGGTGAACGCTACGAAGAAGAAGAAGAAGAAGAAGAAGAAGAAGAAGAAGAAGAAGAAGAAGAAGAAGAAGAAGAAGAAGAAGAAGAAGAAGAAGAAGAAGAAGAAGAAGAAGAAGAAGAAGAAGAAGAAGAAGAAGAAGAAGAAGAAGAAGAAAGAAGAAGAAGAAGAAGAAGAAGAAGAAGAAGAAGAAGAAGAAGAAGAAGAAGAAGAAGAAGAAGAAGAAGAGAAGAAGAAGAAGAAGAAGAAAGAAGAAGAAGAAGAAAAAAAGAAAGAAGAAGAAGAAGAAGAAGAAGAAGAAGAAGAAGAAGAAGAAGAAGAAGAAGAAGAAGAAGAAGAAGAAGAAGAAGAAGAAGAAGAAGAAAGAAGAAGAAGAAGAAGAAGAAGAAGAAGAAGAAGAAGAAGAAGAAGAAGAAGAAGAAGAAGAAGAAGAAGAAGAAGAAGAAGAAGAAGAAAGAAGAAGAAGAAGAAAGAAGAAGAAGAAAGAAGAAGAAGAAGAAGAAGAAGAAGAAGAAGAAGAAGAAGAAGAAGAAGAAGAAGAAGAAGAAGAAGAAGAAGAAGAAGAAGAAGAAGAAGAAGAAGAAAGAAGAAGAAGAAGAAGAAGAAGAAGAAGAAGAAGAAGAAGAAGAAGAAGAAGAAGAAGAAGAAGAAGAAGAAGAAGAAGAAGAAGAAGAAGAAGAAGAAGAAGAAGAAGAAGAAGAAGAAGAAGCAGAAGAAGAAGAAGAAGAAGCAGAAGCAGAAGCAGAAGAAGAAGAAGAAGAAGAAGAAGAAGAAGAAGAAGAAGAAGAAGATGAAGAAAAAGAAGTAAAAGTAGACGAAGAAGAAGAAAAAGGGGAAGAATAAGAAGAAGAAGAAGAAGAAAAAGAAGAAAAAGAAGAAGAAGAAGACGACGAAAAACAAGGAGGAAGAAGAAGACGAAACGATAAAGAAGAAGAAGTAACAGTAGTAGTAGTGTTGGTGGTGATGGTGGTAGTGGTGAAGGAATAATAATAATAATATTAATATCTGTTATTTAACACAATTTAACACACATAGAACAACAACATACATACACACATACATACATACATACATACATACATACATACATACATACATACATACATACATACATACATACATACATACATACATACATACATACATACATACATACATACATACATACATACATACATACATACATACGCACACAAATACGAATTTGAAGCCTGTTCTAACGCTTTGATGCAAACCATAATTTTGCGCCAGTGACTGCGTCATTTGGTTTATTTTACAATTTTTTGGTCCGGAGATCCCCGAGGATCGCTGCTGATGCAACGAAGTTCATGCTTTGTGCGATGCACTAAGCAGATGGCAAACAGTTCTGCGGAGAGAGATCCGAGTTAAAACCATGTGCAGTGACATCGATCCGTTAGACTTTAGACAGCTTTCACTTTAGGATCTATTAGCACTCGATTACTGATTGTAGTACCTCAAAATTACTTATCAAATCTCACTTGCACATTCACAATGATTCTCAAACTTAAAGTAAACAGTTTTCAGATGAAGAAATGGCTTTCGGATTTTACGAGGTGAGCGCCAAAACTGGGGAAAATGTACAGGCTGCCTTCCAGAGACTTGCCTATCACATTACAGACATATGTCATCCTAAACTGGTGAGTTGATGAATGCATGAATGAATGAATGAATGAATCAAGAATTGATATCTCTGCACCCAGGAGTTCACACACGTGACCCGAGTTGACATGCTAATAGTACCAGTTGCAAGCTGATTAAAAGTCAATTACCTCGGCTTTGAAAAAGCCTACAATGGACTGATTGAACATTACCTCGGCTTTGTAAAAGCCTACAATTACCTCGGCTTTGGCATAGCCTACAAATGTTTTAACTGGTACCAGCAATGTTAAAAACGTCATTGCTTAACTGGCTCGGTCGGTGTACTTTAAACAAGGCTCTCTACTATACAAACAGACCTAAAGTTAAACCTTGATGTGGAGACATAAATCAAGATAAACTGACCCCAAGTTCAGGTCGAGACATAAAAAAAAACCACTCCATGAACAAAAGACCAAAACCACTCCTAGTTAACTTAACAATAGACGCAGACCACTGTTAGTGAAAACAAAACTATCATCTGATCACACAGCAAAACTACACAGGCCGCACCTACACAAGTCCTAAACCAAATTAAAATCAACAAGCGATAATCTGAGCCGACTAGACTTGGCAAATTAAACTACTTCACAACGCTACTCATCCGTGAACAAGATGATATAATACCTAACTAAGAACAACCCCAGTCTTCGATAACCAGACCACACACGTGGGCGAACATATTTAAAGTCTGAAAGAAAGGGGCACGTGGGCGCCATAAAAACTAATTTAAAATGAAAAATCACTAATATTACCTGCACAAACTAGAACTCCTTTGTGAATTAAATCCTGTCACATCTGACTAAACAAATATCAAAAGACTGTAATATAGAAGCCCCACAAGTTGGGCGCTATTTAAAAATCAATCTAAACTATGAACTACTATTATTACCTGCACTAAATAGGCTAGACACAAAATATCTAATGGCCACCAATATCCTTGCCAGACGACGCCATTTGTACTAGGGCGGAGAAGGCCCTTAGTACTAAGATAAAAAAAAGAGGAAAATAGTTCGTTAGGTGGGGACTAGAAACAAGAACATTCTAGTCCAGGCATGAGATCTTCTGTGTACAGTCTAATATAGCCCAGGTAACGACGAAACTTAACTAAACTAGTAAACTATCTAGAAGTCCTAAGCTGAAGAAAACAACTGTAACTATGAATACACCGTTGAACAAAATTTGTATTTAACTTCACATCAGCATGGCCAAAAGTAACGACATAAACGACCACGTGCTGGAACAAAACCTCAAATATACAGCAATCTACCATCTAACTATTTCTTGGCAAGAATGCAAATGACGATTAATATTAAATCTAACCAAAGGAAACGTACCCTGAGCCGATTTAATCTAGCGCCGCCCAGCCATTCGATCTGACACACCTGTGCATTGCGACCAAGTGCAGTCGACAACGACAACAGGGCGTTTTGACCGAAACAAGCCGGAGCGACCACCAGATAGGAGAAGCCCAAATAAAAATCAGTCGGCCGCTTAAATACCCCGTGGCCTGATTTTTCCCCTGTTATCGTCTAAATCTATTAACTGCCAATGTTTCTCAAATTTGCCGGTTGGCATTTTCAAACCAGGACAAACCTTCAAAGACCTTTAATCTATTTTACTGTAGTCTTCGTCGCTTCCACACTACTACAAAAAGTCGGTCGGTTTTCCCCTCAATGTTAAATATCTTCCAGACCCTCCCCTCAACACCCGCTGAATTAGTCTGTCAATGTATGGATTCTCAGTCTGTTCTGCAGCACTGTACACTTGATCTCATAACATAGCTCACCACCCAGAGGAGCGGCAGCAGTCAGACTATCATTACCTTGTACACCAGAATATCCTGGACATCAGCTAAGAGTTAACGAGCCTCCCAGCCACTGACTTTTCCAGGAGTCACAAACCCTCCATCAACCTCCTAGCCACTGACTTTTCCAGGAGTCACAAACCCTCCATCAACCTCCCAGCCACTGACTTTTCCAGGAGTCACAAACCCTCCATCAACCTCCCAGCCACTTACTTTTCCAGGAGTCACAAACCCTCCATCAACCTCCTAGCCACTGACTTTTCCAGGAGTCACAAACCCTCCATCAACCTCCTAGCCACTGACTTTTCCAGGAGTCACAAACCCTCCATCAACCTCCCAGCCACTGACTTTTCCAGGAGTCACAAACCCTCCATCAACCTCCCAGCCACTGACTTTTCCAGGAGTCACAAACCCTCCATCAACCTCCCAGCCACTGACTTTTCCAGGAGTCACAAACCCTCCATCAACCTCCTAGCCACTGACTTTTCCAGGAGTCACAAACCCTCCATCAACCTCCTAGCCACTGACTTTTCCAGGAGTCACAAACCCTCATAAAGAGAAAATCAAAAACAAACTGCAAAACAAACACAGGTTGTAATCATAGCAGCAGCAGTATTAGTAGTTTTGGTAGCAGCAGCACCAGCAGCAGAAGTAGTAGTTAAAGAAGAAGAAGAAGTAGAAAAAAAAAGAAGAAGAAGAAAAAGGAAGAAGAACAGACACTGCCTAGTGTGCAATGAAATCTTTAACATTTGATCTTAGTATACAAAAGACATTTGGAAGGATATTTTAAGATGCAGCACATCTTGCTGGTTTGAAAGTAACACACTCATATTTCACTGCAGTATTTATTTTGGGTTATATGACTCTTAGCTCTGTCAGTAATCTCAAGCCATGAACCTAAACCACTACAGACCATCAATTGCGATATCAGCTCACGGTCTCCCCGTTTCCCCAAAAGCTTAGTTGTCAGGCATACTACGTGTGGCCACATTTTTTGTAGCTCTTCCTGGAGAGGACAGTCTTGCAAGACATGTTCTAGAGCAGGGCTATTCAACTAAATTTACTCATGGGTCAACATCTTGAAAATAGGGATAGTCACAGGACAGGGGCCTGAGCCCCAGCAAAGGAAAACATCAATACAATACAATTGGTAGTGATTCGCGGGGCCACTTGCTAGACCCCCACGAGCCAAATGTGGCCCGCGGGCCGCCAGTTGAATATCCATGTTCTAGAGTACGTTCAGCACGAAGACACTGGCAGTGAGCAGTGAGACGCATACCTAGTTTATATCAGTGTTTGTTAAGGATGCAATGTCCAGTGCATAAGTGATAATTTGTGGCCTGCTCTGTTCTGTTTAAATAATGAATGACACCCCCCCCCCCTTTTTTTTTCCACCCCGCATGGTTATAGCAAGTGTTTTGCATCTGTTTCTGAGTTACTCTTTATGAAAGTTTATGGCTTCTTGAAAAGATAGTGGCTGGAAGATGCGTTGACTCTTAGTTGATTAAGCTGTATTTTCAGTTAGTCAGTCAGTACATGTCCTTTGCAGAACCCTGCTTCCATAGCAACCCTCCGGAAAATTTCTCGATCACAATCTAGATGTCCCACGTCCAATAAACCCATCTCGAGATCATCCGCGACATCCAGCATCCATTTTCTCTTTGTCCTTCCTCTTCCTCTCTTCCCAGGCATCAACCCCTCCATTATTGTTCTCTTCAAACTTTCGTAACATTTCAAATGACCAAAATATTTAAATTTTCTGTGTTTTATCGTCTTTAATAGCCAACCTTCTTTAATATTCAGTTCTTGAAGTATGTATGTGTTTTATTTTAAACTTATGATATTCTCAGAACCCGTCTATAACCTTTGTATTCAAAGGTATTTATGAGCTGTTCAGCTTGTTTAGTAAGTGTCCAGGTCTCACAGGCGAATGTTGCAATGGGAAAGATACATGCTCTTAGAAATCTAATTTTTGTAGTTGTCTGTCTGTCCCACTCCATAATTTATTCAGTTACTTTAGTCTTTGAAGAGCAATTGATAGTTGTATTTTACCATATGGAAAATAGTGACAGTTAACCTGATGATGGTTAGTAAGTGCACAACATAAATTAGAGAAGAAAGACATTACATACATATGAAGTGATAATAGCCAGTGCTTTAGCATCCGGCGATTGACCACAAACGGTTCCTTCCCATGATGCATGCTCCAGCAAATGTGTGACGCTGATGAGGATTAAGAGGAGAGCAGCTCGTCTTAAACCCCACCAAACACAGGAGATGGAAGATGGGGAAAAGGGGGGGGGGGGGGCTTAGGCTGCTTGATGGCCATCACCCCCTCCCCCCCATCCCCAATCGGCTCCTTATATATATATATATATATATATATATATATATATATATATATATATATATATATATATATATATATATTGTTTTTTTTTTTTTAACATATCCAGAAACCATGAGTTGTAAACCATTTGGCTCGGTACTATGGATATCGCAACCCTTCGGCATTGATTCCATTATAGGTACCGTTAATCTGGGAGAAATGTGGCTTTTCTGCCTACCCGCAGGAGTGAACCCGGACCACAAGGAGTTCGTCACCCGGCCGCCGCGAAAATCAGGTTTAACCAACTTCGCCAGAGAGCCGGGCATATATATATATATATATACACACACACATATAAATATATATTTATATATATATATATATATATATATATATATATATATATGTCCGGGGCAGTGGTGAATTGATGTATAGCAAGCTAGATGTTGTGAGGGCTCTTTGGGAGCGAGTGAATAGTGCGAAGGCACAGACAGATCATTACGGTCTGAGGAGAATGGCGCTGCGGAAAGTTACCAGGGATCTGACCGACGCTTAACACTCCAGTGGAACAACAAATTTCCAATTTCGTACACTAAGCCTTTCTATCTGTTGCAACCTAATGTTGCCCACTCTGTTAATCCCTACAGATGGCGTCCTACCATCCACACTGTGAGAAGCCACTGATGTCACAAGACGTAACCACTCTTCAGGTGGCAAGACTCCGAGAGTTCAAAGGCAAAGGTAAAAAGAATTTCAAGAAGAAAGAACCACACAGCAAAACTGAAAACAGGACAAATCAGATCCAGTATACTGTTGGATATATATCACAAGGAACTAACATCAGCAGTTGTGATAATGCTACCAGT